AAACATTATGAGCCAAAGATTCTCAGGGCTTAAAAAAAGGGTCAGTTTTCTGAATCGCTTTTCTTACTAAAAACTACCTTATGTACTAAAATACATATCAAATGAGTGGCTTTTAAATGGTGATAAGAGGGACTTCCCTGGTGGCGCAGGCGTTAGGAATCCTCCTGCCAACGCAGGGAACACGGGTTCGAGCCCTGGTCCAGGAAGATCCCACAGGCCGCGGAGCAATTAAGCCCATGCACCACAACTACTGAAGCCCGCACGCCTATAGCCCGTGCTCTGCAACGAGAAGCCACCACAATGAGAAGCCCGTGCACCACAACAAAGTAGCCCCCACTCGCCACAACTAGAGAGCGCCTGCGTGCAGCAACAAAGGCCCAACGCAGCCAAAGATAAATAAATAAAATAAATTTATTATAAATAAACTATAATTTTAAAAACCTGTATATTTTTAAAATAAAAATTATTAAAGTAAAAAACAGAACTCAAGACTCAGTCAGCTCATAACAGGTTTTTAAGAGTTTGAAACTAAACCTCACCAAACAGAAAATAAATTGTAGGGAAGACTGGTGAAATTTTTATTTCAGAAGGTTGGTTTGCTAGGTTTTTTTTTTTGCGGTACACGGGCCTCACCGTTGTGGCCTTTCCCGATGCGGAGCACAGGCTCCGGACGCGCAGGCTCAGCGGCCATGGCTCACGGGCCCAGCCGCTCTGTGGCGCGTGGGATCTTCCCGGACCAGGGCACGAACCCGCGCCCCCTGCATCAGCAGGCGGACTCTCAACCACTGCGCCACCAGGGAAGCCTGGCTTGCTAGGTTTTAATCAAATAAGTGAACTTCTTGAGTAAGTTAACTGTTTCCTAAGCCTATATTTTATTGACTTCATGATTAAATTTGAGAAGAAAATTAAAGGAATGTCATTCTGTCAGTGTAACATGTAAAGCTGAAATAAATTTGTTTTTGACCAAGCCACAACTACAGATTTCATTTATTTGTTCGCAAAATACTCCGGTTCTTTATGACAGATAGATTAAGGAGGATCTCTTATTTTAGGTGGCTTTCAACTTACGTGACTTTAAGCTTTAATTGCTCTGTCACTTTTAGAGACTAAAAGAGGTTTTGCCCAGGAAAAAAGAGAGAAAAAAAAATCCTATAATTCTAGCTAAACACGTAACTGCCAAGATTCAATGTAACTCATACATGTGCAAAATATTACTATATATAAGACCATTCTTTACAGCACTGTTTGTATAGCAAAATATGGAGAACAATCTAATAGTTATAAATATGTAATTAGTTAAATTAGGGCCTAACCACAAGGTTCCACAAAACAGCTCTTTAGAAAATTAGTCACCTCGAAGACATAGGTGGGGGCAAGGGGAGGAATCATGTACAACATTTACTTGGGGAGGAGGGGAATAGGCCTAACATATATGCACTAAGTCTCTCTGGTCTTTTGGGAAGAATATACAATAAAAGTTGTGGCTGTCTGGGGAGGGAAAATGGAATGCTGAAGGACAGATGAGTCTTAATTTTCCTCTATGTACCCTTTAGAACATTTCAAAGGTGCTCTATGTATTTCCCAGTCAACAAAATAAAAGATTGATTTGTTTTGTTTTTAACGAATTCATGGGTAGGATTAGAAACTTTTAGCTCAGGCACAGATTCAGATAGAATCTACTGAGCAGTAACAATGTCAAATTATATAGAATAACTCTCCTGAAACTTTCTTTCAAAGAGACTGAAGCTCATTCATTCATTCAATCAGTATTTCAGGGCCAAGACATTAGATTTGCAGATTATGTGTTCTAGGCATTTCAGCAATGCCCAAGTCATCCAAGAATTCCTGCTTTCATGGAGCTTTAGTGAGAGTAGAGATAAACAGTAAATAATATAACTTTGAGTAATGATATGTGCTATACAGAAGAGACGACATAGGGGCTAAAGAGCAACCATGGGGGAGGAGGGAGGACTGTGTTTTAGGACAGTTAAGGTAATCCTCTCTGAGAATATGACATGTGAGCCAAGAACTGAACATTATGACAAAGCAATTAACGCAATAAACAGGAGGAAAGCCCTGTGACTGGAACATGCGTAGCCTCTTATTGTTCAGGGTACAGCAGAGCAACAGTGTGGCTGCAATGGAGTGACCCAAGGGGTGAAGTGTGGGAGATGATCTCAGAGGTAGGCAGATCCCAGATGGATGGAGGGCCTTGTACCTAGGAGGGAAAAAAGTCAAGATTTTAAGTGTGCTGCAGAACCTCTGTGGAGTTCTGAGCAGGGAAGTAACAAGATCTATGTTTTTAAAAGTAACACTAGCTGCTGTTTAAAAGGAGATCAATACAGTAGGCCAGGTAACAAATGATGGAACTGAACAGTGGTTTCAGAGATACAGGGAAATGTGTCTGATCCAGGATATAATTTGAAAAATAGAGCCCACAGAATTTGCTACTGGATTAGAAATGGGAATCTGAGTGGGATAGCAACTGGGTGAATAGTAATTCAACGAATCATCTTTATGTGTATGGTTACAGTTGTTAAGGTACTTTGACATATATTACATCATTTCATAATAACAAGAGGCAGGGGAAGGTCACACTGGGTCAAGATCCAAGTTCTGCCTCCTGCCAGTTTTAAGACCCTAGGAAAGTCCTTTGAATGGGTTTCTAGGCTATATAATGTATTGTCTACTTCACAAGACTTCTGCAGGTACCAAGTGGTTGAAAAATTTTGCAAATGTAAATAATGCCCATTTTGAGGTAGAAAGCATCACACTGTCCAATGAGAGATGGTACATTCCCATCACTCAGGACAGTAGTGCTACCCCATTATATTCCACTGCCACCACCATTATATTCCACACAGAACCTTGTATTGTAGTTGACAGAGAAGAGACAAGCTTCTTTTTTTAAATTCTGATATAAAAAATAAACATTTTCACAGATTATGAAAAAGCCTACATAATATAAGCATGGGCACCAGAAAAAAATAATATAATCTTTTAATCCTTCCTAGGGATTGGAGAAAACAGTTCTTTTTGCTATAAATGGCATTAAAGTAAAACCACCAAACTCTTACAAGATAATACCCAAACCAAGGGATCTTTCATTAGAGAGATGTTATCAACAAGACTTTAAATTAAGAGTATATATGACTTATCACTGTCTTGTTTTAAATAGCAAAATGCAAAAGCCTCGTGTAAACTAAATTATTGTGTGCCAAATGAATTGAATTATGAGGACTTCAACTTATTGCTTCAAGTCATATCTATAAGTTTATATACAAGGTCCCACAGAATTTATTTTTCCATCTAAGACTTTCATATTATTGCAGAATATCTCCAGCATTAAGCAAAAATGGAAAAATATATGTAAAGTCTTTAATTCATTATGTATTTTGGAGAATTATCTTGAATGTCAATGTGTACTAGGTACTTAGTCAATAACCTGAATAACAGTAAATAAAAATCCAAGGATATCTGATGTATAGCTCTATCTTCCACCCCTCATTTTCAAGTGGGGCCTCAATAAACATGACCACTGGGGCCATGTGATTGTATTACAACCACATTGTTAAGTACCCTCCAACACACAGCCATTAAACTGCCTTGGACGGAGTCGAAGACAAATCTTTAACACAACAAATGAAGATTTTGTTTTACACAACACTATGAGGTTCACATCATTAGACTTCAGCGCACAATGACAATCTGTTCTACTTCTCTACTTGCTAAAACTTGCTACTTTACAAAACACGTCTTATTTCTCTAAATTAAGCACCTTTAGGTCAGAGACATCCCCATCTCAGATATATTTCATTGCAATCGCACTACACAATACACCATCCTTCAATCACTTAGCATGCGTCTCCCCCCAAACTCTAAGGACAAACTAGATTAAATACACGTTCAGAGTTACAGCAAACAAAATGATGCTGCAATTTAGAAACTTTAACTCACATACTGAGCAACACAGAGGTTCAACTAATTTCCTTCACTAAAACTGACAAAAAAACCTAAAGGTTTTGTCTTCGTGGACTGCAAGAAACATTTCACGTCTGAGGACTTGATATTTATGTAAAGAGTTTACAAAACCAAGATGAATTTTTCATGGTTCCATTGATACTTGTCAAAGTACATATTCATGAAGAGCTGAAAAACGGTATTGATAATTTAAAGCGCACAAAATCGAGAGGCAAAAGGTTTCACAAGGTCTCCCGTACCTGTACTGCACCCCCTCCCCCAATCCCCGCTCGGTCTCGTGTTAGAACTATTTCCTCTAAACAGAAACAGTCCTAAAAGAGTTTGCCAACTAGAGTAAACTCACTTCGCGAAGATAACGAGCGGAAACGCATTTAAAGAGGAGATCGCGGAAGCGAGGGCGGCGGGGCGCGGAGCCCCCACGTCCCCCGAACCCTGGCAGCCAGGGGCGAGCATGTGCCGGCGGCTGCAGGACGCGCGGCCCTCCCGGAGCCGCCTCCCGTGGCACAGGGCCCCGCCCGGCCTCACCCTCCCGGTTCATTCATTCTGAACCTGCGGCTGCCGCACCCCTGCGCTCCCGCCCGGGCCGAGACACGGATCCGAGGCCGAGGGGCCGTGTCGTGCCACAGCCCCCGCCTGGAGTCCGGGCCCCGCCGCGATTCCCGCGCGCCCGCGGCCTCCGCTCGGGGGTGGTCTGAGAGGCCGCGGAGGCCCGCTTCCAAGACCAGAGCCCCGCAAGCCCGCGGCCCCACCCTCCGCCAGGGCGCAGGCCAGGCCTTCCCCGCTCGCGGGCCGACCGCCTGGGAGCCCCCGATCCCCGCTGCCGGACTGCCCCACTGCGGCCGGAAGTCTCCCCAGCGCCCCCTCCCCAGCGCCCGACTTCCCTCGCCGCCGCAGCCAGACCCTCTCCGCGCTGCCTCGGGCCTCCCAGCGCGGGCCGGAGGAAGCGAGGGGCCACTCCGCCCGGTCCGCCGAGAGGGCAAGAGCAGAGCGGGTAGCCGGAAGCGGGCCCGGGCCGTTACCTTGATAATCCTGCGGGGCAGCCCGGCCATCTTGTCAGATCCCGAGTTCGGCCTCTGGTCTCGTCTCCGGCTCTGCTCGCCTCACGCACGAGTGGAAGTCCCGGGCTCCACTTCCGGGGAACGTTGCCGCGCCCGCCGTCGCCGCGCCGAGGCCCCCCGGGAAATGTAGTTCCTGCTCGGGCGCGGGCGGGCTTCCCTCGGACCTGGCCCCCCTCCCCCGCGCTCCCCGCCCCAGCCGCGGCCTGGGGGTGGCGGAAGTGACGCGCCGCGGCGGGTCTGGGATTTGGGAGAGGCGGTGCGGAACGGCGCGGAGCAGCGCAGAACCCCGTCGCAAGTGGCCGGTTCTGCTGCGCGCTGGTGGGACTGAGTGGTCTGCGACCAGCAGGCCTCTTATCCGCGGCCACGCCCGCGCCAATGGGCGACGTAACAGAGGCCCGGCCGCAGACGTAGCCCATTCATTCATTCGTTCGTTCGTTCATTCAACGCTACTGCAGGGTGCGCGGTCGGGGCTGGCGCTGGCCGAACGACTGAGGTCAAGCTGATCCGCGAGCTCCTTCCTCACAAATAGGGGAAGACCGAAAGTCAGTAGCAAAGCTCCCAACTGTGGGTCTCGAAAGTTATCTAGGAAAAGCCTAGCCAGAATTTTGATGTTTAAATTTCGCATAAATCGGGTGCCTTTGACACACCCCTTAGACCAGGAAAAGCTAAAAGGGTTTGGAGAGAGTTGGGGGCGGGGAAGAAGAATGGCCTCTGAACGCCTGGCCCTAGTGGTTGACTCGCGGATTGGAGAGCTGGAGGAATGACCCAGGAGAGGATTAGAGATCCCAGCGTAATCCCTAAAAGAGGGATTACCTTTAGAGTGCGGGGCTCTAAAGGAGGATTAGAGTGAGGGTGCCCGGAAATGGGATTGTTGGGGAAGGCATTTCCTAACATCCTGATGATTGATTGCTTGCTCTGTAATGGGCTTTTTGTTTTTTTATCGTCATAGCAATCTTAAAGTGCTTCCTCCACTTTACAAATGAGGCTCGGAGACATTCACTTTTTCCAAGGTTATGAGGGAAATGGAGCTGTTTTGTTCCCACGCAGGTCTGCCAAAACGTGGACCCCTTAACTCCTTAGCCACGGTGTTTCCTAGCACAGTAGCACAGACAGTAGATGGTGAATAAAGATGTGCCAGATGCTATGTTAGTGGATGAGAATACAAAGAGGCTGACCCTAGGGAATTCCCTGGCGGTCAAGTGGTTAGGTCTCGGGGCTTTCATTGCTGCGGCCGGGTCCAATCGCTGGTCGGGGCATTAAGATCCCGCAATCCGCGCCAGGTGGCCAAAACTCAAAACAAAAAAGAGGTTGACCCTGTCTTCCAGGAACTTAGAGTCCAGCGGAGAAGAGAGACTAGTGAACAATAATTACAATCCAGTGTGTTAAGGGCCATAATAGAGATTCCTCCAAGGTGCTATTTGAGCACAAGAGAGGCATTAATTGCTTGAGAAGTCAGAGAAGGCTTCTCAAATGAGAAGTGGCATCCTAAAGGATGAGTAAGAATCTAACTGACCTGGTTGGGGGAGCATGCCAGGCCTAGAAAAAAGACTGTGAAATGGCACTGAGCTATAAGAAAAAAAAAAGTGCATTAAAGAAATGGAGAATATGAATGCAAGAAACCTAGTAAGAGTAATAAGAGAAAACATTATCATTAGCACGATGCTAAATGATTACATGGATTATCTCATTTAATGATAAAGTATATAAGGTAGGCTTTCTTATTACTGTTGCTTTTTAGATGAGAAACCAAGACTCACAGGCAATAATGAGAACTTCAAATAACCAGAAGTCTGAAATGAGTGGTTCTTCTGTATTTAGAAGAATCTGGGAAAGTAAATAACATTGGAGAAAGATACTTCCAGAATATTTTAGAGAGGGTCTAGAACCCGCCCTGATAGGAAGAAAGGCAGAGGGAATATGGGGTTAGAAGGGTAGTAGTCCAGTTAGCTCTTGCATAACAATTCAGCTCCAATTTAGTGCTTAAAAGAACAATAATCATTTGTTTAGCTCTTGAATCTGCAATTTAGGCAGGGCTTGGCAGGAAAGACACATCTCTGCTCCATGCTGTGTCAGCCTGGGCAGCTTGACTGGGACCAGAACCACTTCTAGGATGGCTCACATAGCAGGCAAGTTGGTACAGACTGTTAGTTCCTCTCCAAGTGGGCCTCTCCCTGGAGCAACTTGGGCTTCCTCACTTCATGGTGGCTGGGTTCCAAGAACCAGTGTTCTAGCAGGCAAAAGTGGAAGCTGTCACCTTTTTCGACCCAACCTTGGAAGTCACCTAGCATCACTCCCACCATAATCTGTTGGTTGACTCATCACAAAAGCCCACCCAGTTTGAAAAGTAGGGGACATGGACCCCCTCTCTTGAAAGAAGAGTCCAGGATTCTGGAAACTAGCTGGGTATGTGTGATACAAGATACAGTTGTGACCGACTTCGAAAAACACAAACTGCCACAGGTATATTTATCACAGTGTGCTTACAAGCCACCATGCTTACAGTCACCTGCAATGCTGGTTAAAATAAGCATTCCTGGAGCCCTTCCCAGAGATTCTAATTTTCTGGTTCATTGCTGAGGCCTGGGACTCTGCATGTAAACATCACGGGTAATTTTGATAGATCCTAAAATTTGAGAACAAAAGATTTTGAATAAACAACAAAAATTGTTGCCATGTGCCTTCTTTTGGCTATTCTCTATTGGAATAGATAGTGAGTATCCTGCAGATTAAGAGTGAGGGCCCCAAAGCCCTGCCTAGATTTGAAAACTTAGAATTTGCTTAACTTGTCTGACCTTCGTTTTTTTCACCTATAAAGTGTACTTCATGTTCTTGTTGTGAAGTTTCAATATATATTAAGTACTTAGAAGGGGTATTATTTTTGTAATCTTGATAAGAACCAGGTATAGTTTTCTTTAAGAAACCAGATTTTTAAAATTTGACAGTATAACCTTGTTTGGCAGAGATTCATTTGATGGCATGAAATTCTCTTAGATAAATACATAATTTTTAATGTCCTTTCCCATTCTTTCCCCCCTTGAGAACAACTTACACTATACGCATCTGGAAAATAAAATCCGAACTTCTGATTCATGTAAGTCCTGTAGAACAGGATATGTTCTAGAAGGACATGTTGCCACATGGCTGAGATGCAGTGTTTATTCTCAGGTTAGAAAGCTGGTTAAGAATCCTACTTACTATACCCATAAAATATGGTTAAAATAAATATATCCACAAAACTAATTCCTTCAAGGCAGGGATGTTAGACAGCTGAAGAATAGAGGTAAAACAGACTTTTTACTTTATACTCTTGTACCTTTTGGATGTTGAGCTGTATGAATGTGTTACCTATTCAAAACATAAAATAACCCAATTCACTAATTTCAAAAGTCTGATCTAAAAGGTGTTCAATGCCCTTTACATGCTGATCAAGAATGATATCATACAACTGAAGGGGAAAAAAAGAAAAAATAATTTTAAAAAAGAAAAGAATTATATCATACACTCAAAATTCAAAAGATTCTGATCCATGGTATGGAATAAATAAGAGTGACCAAATAGCTTCACTAAACTGAACAGTGCTAGGCAGAACTCTTAGCTAGTTAATCTTTTTTTTTTTTTTGTGGTACGCGGGCCTCTCACTGTTGTGGCCTCTCCCGTTGCGGAGCACAGGCTCCGGACACGCAGGCCCAGCGGCCATGGCTCACGGGCCCAGCCGCTCCGCGGCATGTGGGGTCCTCCCGGACCAGGGCATGAACCCGTGTCCCCTGCATCGGCAGGCGGACTCTCAACCACTGTGCCACCAGGGAAGCCCCCTGGCTAATCTTTTTTTGGCTCTTCATCAGGCCTTATTCTTGGCCATGATTTTTTTTCCAGGCTCTGCTTCTTTCAGGACTCAAACTCCAAGTGCCTTTGCATTATAATATAAGAAAGAGGGCCCAAGAACACTGTGTTGAAGAAATTAGAGGAATCCTGATCTATGCAAATCTTACTCCCCAGAATAATATTTAGTGCCTCCTGTTCCTTCCCCACCCCCTACCCACAAATATTTCAGTTTCACTACTTTGGTCCTATAATAGCAGATGTATAAGTACTGTTTACCCTGTAGGTAGTGTCTTAAGACATTTATACCTGAGCTCCTCAGAGCCATGGATCTCTTCCATCTTGGGCACCCCTGGATCCCTGGGGCCTAGCTCAAGGCCTACAACATGAGAGCTCTCAAAAAGTACTGGTCAAGGGAATGAATGCATGAGTGCAGGATGAAGATAAACACCTGTTTGAGAATGGTTGCCTTAAATTCATGATCCATAAGTGAAACACAGGATGTTTATGTTCATCCCTAAACTTTTCAACTTGACTTCCTGGAAGACAACAGAGCTTTTTTCACAAACTCTCTCATACTTTGCAGAGACAAAATAGAATAGTTTGGAAAATGATAGATCAGTCACCTTTAATAGAGGTCCTGTTTCCAATTATGAGCAATAGTCTTCATGGAGATGTATTTGTTTGCAATACCCATATTGTTTCTTGCAGCATAGGAAAACTCTCGTGGGCTATCAAGCAGAAGTATCTGTGATAAGAGGGTTCCTGAACAGACTCGAAGTGGGTGGGGAGGATGAAAAGGCTGCACACTGATTGTTAAAAAGAAAAAAAAAAACTGAAAAACACCTGCTGCCTCATATTCATGATTTCAACATAAATAGCTGAGTACTTACAAACAGTTAACCAACACAATGCCAGCCCATGAGAAGGATCTGAGCAGGGTCATCCAGGGTAATAGGAGCACTATCTCAAAGTGGAAGGACTCTGGAAAGAAGACACCTAAGAGAACTGGAGTAATAAGGCTGACCTTTGTTTAGCGCTTCATGCTTTACAAAGCATTTTTGAATGTTATCTCATCCACAGAGAGCTTTAAGTGCATGCACCACTGGAGGCATTCTGCAAAGCCCATCACTGATTCTGCGATGTTTCTATAAAGGTAGAGGAAGGGGGGTATTCCTCTCTTTGTGCCAGTTCCCAGTGGAAACAGGATTCCAGAGGATGGTGACTCAAGGCTTGGCCAGAAGCCTGGATGGAACAGGAACTC